AGCAGGAGAAAGACCAAGGACTTGTATCGCTAAAGTTTCTTCGCAAATATTTTTTTACAGAAAATTAACTAACGAGAGGAGGCGTAACAGGGTTATCTGGGGTCTGCCCATCACGGGTATTGAAACTCAGTTTCTATCAGTGGAAGTCCGCAGACATACTGCTGTGCAACTGGGGCTGGTACAAGATAACGCAGCTTTGAAACTGGAACTCGCTGAGTTTTACTGAACTTTAGAAAAAGACAGATATTATAAAAAAATATGCTAAATAAGTGTTTGTATGATATATAAAAGAGTATACCGCCAACTGTTTTATATAACACAACATGTAACATGTATCCGGTGGATAATATTTTGTAAATTGCGTTTTTTAAAGAGGTTTAGACGATATAGCAAACCCTGTTGTAGTTATAATGCTGCTTATGATGAATCTAGACCAAAATGTCACAGAAACTATAAAGGAAAATATAGGTTTAAAAATTAACGGTTATAAAAATATGTTTTATCTGACTAATATAAACCATAAACATTTTTATGACATCAAATAATGTTTGCTGTCTTAATTGTTATGTGCCATAAAACAATATATGTTGCGATAACAATTTTCGTGACATTAAATAATGCTTGTTATCGTGGCTATTTATTGATATATGACTTTAAGTAATCCATTATTCTCATCGTTAAGCCTAAAATTGTCATGTGTTTGATTTGATCTGATTTGTTTCTTATGGACATGTTGTTCAGTAATTCTGATAAGTTCCCTATTAGAACACTAAATACGTTGAGATAACTAATGAATGATCGGTTAGAGAAACTTGTTACATTTATAAAACCATTAAAATTTTCATGAGATGGAACTTTAAGCTCGCTTGTGTTCTGCCTTTACGGGAACACTGCAGTGTAAAAAGGGTTAATTACTTTATTTCGAAATAATTTTGAATATGATAAAAACAGAAAACCTATAGTCTCAGTGGAACAGCATATATCTGAACTACATTTTGGCATTTCGTAAGTAATGTGATGCATTCAAAACCTCATCGTTTTGTGGAAGGTATTTAACAAAATATTCATAAACTCAGATCATAAAGATGTTATCAGTTTGATAGTTAGAATTTATAAGACGGGGTTATCTCTTGTACTTAATGGCATTAGAAAACAAAGGAATATTGGTAAACCTGAGGAACCAGTAAGATCCAAAAAGATAGATAGAGCATGACTGGACATGGCTACATAGACTCTAACTACGTGTTGAAGCACCAAAATCGTTATAATATATCGAACTCAACATCTGTACTTTATGAGAGCGATCATATTGAATCAGTGTTTCTGAATAATAGCCAATATGTTGAAATAATTTCGAGTGCTAATTGCAATGGTTGAAAATGGTTTGAAACAATTGTATCAATGCTAGCGAAACCACAGCCAAGGGAACGGGCTTGAAAAAATCAGCGTGTTTCTGAATAATAGCAAATATGTTGAAATAATTTCGAGTGCTAATTGCAATGGTTTGAAACAATGGTATCAATGTTAGAGTAGCTATGTAAACTGTTTGCAAATATTTCTCATTATTTAAATCATTCAAAAGTTCTTTCAGAAACTCTTGGTTTCTTGAAGTCGGAGGACAACAAGATAATGTGTTTATATATACTGAGCATTTCACTGAGTTAGTGTTAATGCCTAGATACTAAACATATTTGCGGTGTGTAAATAATGATCCAGTGTTTAGATGAACTGACTGTCACTATATTGCTACATCTAGGCTGTCTTAGAAACTAGATAGTCTCCGATTGATGTACAGGTACCGTATACATATGCGCGTATATTCATCCAGTTGTACGCTAAATAAGTAGCTTAGAATAGATTAAATAGGCGACAGTTATTAAATTTTGCAAGTTGTATCTGTCGTTCGAGTTCTGTACATTTAAAGAAAAAGCAAAAATAAAAAAACAGGAGTGTATAATTGAAATTTGGAGATGAACTTTGTACACTTCTTGCTTTATGTTATACGAACCATTGGGCAAAAGTTATGCTATGGAATTTGGTCGACTGCTATAAATAACAGACTTTATAGATTTTGTCACAGTTACATACTTTGAAAAGCTCTAGAATTTAGGTTTCGCGTGTGCAGTGGAAACAATAAGAATTATATATCCCTTCTAACATCTAATATCTTTGTTGATCTGAACCAACCAGTTATTTGGTTTTTAAAGCATACTATTCTTAGATGAATTAATATGTATAAAAGTTCTTTTTTTTTCGACGCGTAATTAACCAAAATATTCACAATTTTACAGCTTCGATATCACGACTTTGTTGTCTTTTGTTTTAATATTAAAGTAAAGAGGGTCGGTCGTAGACCAGTGATTATCGTCCTGTTTATGCAAAAACGAATTCTGTACTTTGGGACCGTGGGTGTGCTAAAAGAGTG